AGCCTGTGGACCGAAGGGTCCTGGGTTCCATTCTGATCTAGGGCATATATCTCGGTTGCAGGCTCCTCCTCGGCCCCAGGCCCTGGTCAGGGCTCATGCAGGAGGCAACCAATCGATGTATTTCTCTCACATCAATGTTTCTCTCTGTCTTTCCGTCTCTCTTCCACTCTCTCTAAAAATTCAATGGAAAAATATCCTCCGGTGAGGATTAAAAAAAATAAAAAAAGGAAGAGAAGTTCTTGAGTCTGCTTTCAGCAAATCCCACATCTGTATTTGTTAGAGACAAACAAGTGTAGGTTTTGGGGAGGCCAGTTACTTACCAATTTTGACATGTGCTTACCAGACTTGCTTAGCAATCAGACAAGGTTTATAATTACTTCACCACGTCTTTCTAAGGCACCACAATTTGCAGCTGTCTGCACACTGATTTATGACAGATTCCATTCTGTCAAAGCCCCTCAGATGGCTGATATCACCACATCAGAACCTCACCCAAAGCAGCTATGAGTTAGTTCAGAAAAGCAAGATGTTCTCTCCTTTCAAATTATGTTAGGACTAGTAGGGAACTTCAAGTTCTTCTGTTTCAACACCTTGTTCTTTCATGTACTCAAATATTCATTTAACAAATATTTATTGGAGACCCGCTCTATGCCAGATTAGGTTCCTCTTCTCAAAGCTTTATCATGTAGTAAGGGATGCAGACAGTGAATAATAAACTAATAAAATATTTTAAGTGTCATAATTAATAAAGACATAAACATAGTAATATGATAGAGTTACCACAGAGGGATGAGCTATTTTAGATGGAATGAGGTGATCAATGACAAGAACTCTTTGAGGAGGTGACACTCGAGCTGAGATTAGGATGAAGATGTGAAGTTACATGACAAAAAAGAGAAGATGAAAGAAGTTATAGGTAAAGAAAACAACATATGACAAGGTCCTGAGGTGGGAACAAAACTAACATATTGACAAAAGCAAAGCAATTAGAAATAATGAGAATAACAGGAGCAAGGAAGGTAGGTAGGATGCACTACTGAAGTTCAAGAACTCACCCAGGGCCATAGCATTGTAAATTAGCTACAGATCAGTGACACGCACAGTGGACTGGACAGAGGGTCCTGGGAGTAGTAACATTTGAGTGGTAGAGAGAAGAGTATCTCATGAAAGAGGCAGGGATTTCAAACTCAAATGCCTTCAGGGGTCAGGCAGGTATCATGAAGGAGGCAAGCCTTGGTAAGAGACGGAGTAGTGGGAACTGCAGTGACCTAGAGAATGAGTGACATGCCTAATAGCATTCAGACTCATCAAAAACCACTTTGGCATGCAAACTAAAAGCACATCATTTAAAAAAATAACTTTTTAAGGTAAACATATGAAGAAAAGCAAAGCAAACCTGTACCATCAAAATCCAACTGTGAGCTGAAGGGAAAAATGGGAAGTAGGCTGGGAATGAGAAAAACCAATAGAGCATAGTCCCATGTAAGTCAAAGAAGAGTTATACCATATATTTCCATGAACTGAACAAAAAAGAGTATACCCCATTAGGCAGTAACCCAAACGCTGTAATACTAATAACAACAAAAAAGACCCACAGTATTTGCTACAGAACTTGCATACCTTAAAAGTGGTGGTAATAACCAAACGGGCCAGAGTTGTAAGGTCATGAAACCCTGTGGTCCATCCAAGGACGAATCACAGCCATCCACTCTGCTTGCATGGGCCCAGGGATGGAAAGCGTCCCATGCCTCCCCCGAGGCACTGTGAGTGTGCAGACGTTGCTAGCAATTCGACCTGTTATTATATGGAGCTATCGTCTGCAAGTCCCAGATCTTCCCCCTGGAGCCACCTGCCAGCCCTTCCGACATTTAGAAACACAGACCCTGTCATTGTCTTCCCTTCTCCAGACAAAACATCTCCACCTCCAATTACTCCCCAGATCACTGTTTCCAGACTCCACCACCCCAACCCCCTTCCTGTGAGCCTGCGCTAGTTCGCCACCATCCCTCTTACACAGTGCCCAGGGAGAACACACATTCCTAGCTAATTTATCACGCAGGGCTTCCTCAGGCATCGCTTTCTATTTGTGCAGCAGTAGGAATACAATTACGTTTTATGGAGAGCAGTCTCCTGCCCTGTTCCCCATTCCCCACCCTCCAAGCCAGTCTCAGTATGTCTGTTGTATTTCATGGGCAGATGCATAATTTCGAGTGAATGCTCCCTTCAGTATAAAGAACGCTGTCCTCATCACTCCATCTTTTCTGATTAAGATCACTCAGTCCTGAGCCAATAACGCAGTGCTTCACGCTTCTCATGCCACTTTCTAGACATTATCTTATTATGTATTCAAACAGGAGAAGCATTTTCATAATAGAGGAAGAGGAACCTGAGAATTAGTGGTTAGAGGCAGAGGGGAAACTGGAAATCTGACCCTTGTGAAAAGAATATTGAATGGGAACATCCAATACTCTGGCTTTGAATCCAGGTTCTCCACTTACTCACTACTGCTAGTTTGTTGTTGTTTTATTTTAACAAAATTAAAAAGAAGAACATAAAGAAGCTACCTATTAATAAAGGCTTACTTAGTATGTACCAAGTCCAGTATATCATATATTACACATAACAATCTTTGAAGTGTATTTATCATCTCCATTTTAGAGATGTGGGAATTAAAGCACAGAGGTTAAGTGACTTGCCCAATGCCACACAATCAGTAGGTGGCAATGGGATTTGAACCCAATTCTGCTTGTCTTCAAAGTTCAATCTCTTCAAAGTCTCATACCAATCTCCCTCAGGGAGTACTGTCTATACGACATAGGACTTACCAGTTGATTAAAAACACACCTCTCGCAGTGATTACATCTCCTGAGATGTCCTCCAAATAGGTGGGTGGGAGGGACATGTGTTGACTCATGGGTGGGGCTAGAGACACTGTGGGAGCTTGTGCACCAGGGCAAGGAGTCAGGGAGGGGAGAAGGTCACACCCAGCCTCTGGGTCTGACACTGGGCTTCTAACTGGGCTGCAATGTGGCCCTGCAGTTCTATCACAAGCACATTTGGATATAAACGAGGTTTTACTGTTACCATTCAGCCCCGAAAAAAAAAAAACAGTTTTCAAGCACTTTGAATACCACTTTAGCAGCATTCACTTGTATATAAATCAGTTGCTAATTTATTCATTAAAATAGCCTGTACTTGGCAACATTTTATTAACTTTAGTTTACGCTAATAAGATCAGTAATTGTATTTTTTTTAAATGCATCTCTTTATAATTACTCCATAATTCTGAGTTTCTTCCAATTTGACTTAAGCCCTCACCAACCTCAAACCACATTCCACAAGCAGCAAAAATGAATTTGAATTGTATTACAAGATACGACTTTGGGAAAGCCCAGATTGGGAGAGACACTATTCCCATACCTAACCATGCCTTGGAATCTTCTGGGAACTTTCTTAGGCCCACCTAATTACTGATTGCTCAGAGCCTCGGTAACTCACTGGCTCAGAATCTCACTGGCTCAGAATCTCTCGGGTTGGGACTTCTTGGGAATGAATCTGCAGCAATTGGTCCACCACCCAGCATCTGGGAACCAGTGACCAGAGCATTTTCACCCTACACAGGTCTATTCCAGGCCTTGGAAAACAGGAAGCACACATAGTGAGGGGTATCCCCAAAGCATACTAGTAAAACCAATCACCTCCAAGGACCCGTGAATCCCAGAATAATAACTATAAATCTCAATACTAACTGCTCACTTCTGGTTTCTTATTTTTAGGGTCTAGGTAGTGATTTTAACGCCCAGTTATTGCAAAGAAACCTTAAAAATACAACAACAAAAAGATGCATAGGTTCCATCTAACCCAGGGAAACTGGGTACTTTAGAAATCATTCTCAAAGGGCTAGAACACGAGTGTCAAATAGATGGCTAACTGGTACCTTTCTCCTATTGATACCATGGCAGACATTGCTAATCAATCACAGCATTTTCCTTGTTGCATCCAGAAACAACCTCACGGCCTTTTTAACCAAGCACTCCAGGTGCCACTGCCATCTGATCTGATCTTATATGTGGGGAACATATTTACCCTTCACTGGCTACAATAAATAGTCAAATTGAAATTATCTTATATTTTATACCAGCTTGATCCACCATAGGCTATGTGCTCTAAATCAGGGCCAAGGGCCATTTGGATATTTATAACATCATTCTCAGGCCATACAAAATTGCCAACTTAAAAATTAGCCTGCCATATTTGGTCAAACATTTAATTAACTCACCCCCAATGCCTTGGCAGGGCCAGACCAAATGATTTCCGGGGTCTTATGTGGCCATGGGCCAAAGGTTCCCCACCCCTGCTCTAAATGTACAGATGCCTGAAGGTGCTCATGTACATGAGATCCTAGGAGCAGATCACCTGACTCTTGCTGAATGATCTTCGTAGTGGTTTCACATTTATACCTTTGAATGGAAGTATCTAGAAATCAGCTAACTGCTAAAATGCTGATAATATATGGGTTACACTTATATCATTCAAACCAACTTAGCTTTTGCTAATGATAATTCAAAGTTTGACTTGGAATAAATGCTATAAGGAGAGACAAGCTGAAGTCCAAAGTATTTAAACATTAAATGTAGCATTTGACTAAAATAATCATATATCAATGCCCTTAATTTCCATTGGTTGTCATGTAGATTTTCTCCTATGGAGACACTGGAACATGTCTCCATGCAAACATTTAGCATTCTGATAAATAACAGTCAGAAATCACAAGAGTATTAAGATTTTGCTCAGTTTCATTTGAAAAAGAAATCATTATAAATTCCTTTGTCTTCAGTTCCCATAATGGCTGTTTGGGGCTATCTCACCTGTACTGCTGCTTCCCAAGTCATTGTTGGGTGGAATCCAGGACCATCTCTACGCCAGTACCTATTCAGGGTGATTTCAGCACATGGACAGCGCCCGTAATCAAACAGTAAGATCAGAGCGAGCAGACCTACCTTATCATAGATGCTGTCATTCCTGTGAAAGTCTCCAGCCTTCCTGGGCAGAATGTGGATGTGAACGTGCTGGAAATATACAAAGAAAGAAAAAAGAAAATGTGATTATCTCCCCATATATTTTCACACTTGACAGTGATGCCCTCACGAAGCCCATTTACTCATGGTCCCTGCGGGATTATTGCTCAGAGGAAGATGGCGTTCTCTGGTAACTGGATGCGAAGTCTACGGAGAATAGAGGCACAGAACAAGAAGAACAACTTGGTGGCATATATGAGGCTCTGAGTGAAATGCCAGAGTGTTTTAGGGGCTCCGTGGAATTATTCATAGTTGTCAGTCTTGGTTGTATTTAGCCAGTGCTTTGAAATGACAGCATGTCTTAAAAGGTGACCACAGCGCCTCTGAAACTGACAGGAAATAAGAATTGACTAAAACAGAGAACTGCATAAGTAAAGAACAAATGAGGGAAAGTATGTTAGAATATGGGCCGAATTACAGAATCCGGGCTTCAAATAATAAGCAAATAATAACGACTTAAATAATTCTTACTTATTAAACTTTTAATTATGATGGTAAGGAAACGGTGTGCTTGGCAGTTATCTCCTTTAATGCTCTGAATAAACCTGGAGGTGCAGGCCCCACAGGAAGTGCAGGGTCAGCCCAAAAAGCCAGAGGGTCTGCTTCCTGCCCCGCCTTTTTCATCAGCACATACACGGACCCTGTGATGTTAATCTTTCAAACAGCCCATGCCTTTAGCCTACGAAAGTACCCAGGTAATATACATAGCAATGCAATTATGCGGAGATTGTGACTCAAGGCACACAGCACATCTATTTCAATATATTCTTCAAGGCTAAACTGCCATTTGAAAGTTTGACTTTCCAAATAGCCTCTATTGTCCCTTGGCTGAAGCTAAACCTCGTTCCTGTCCTTGAGCTGTGTTCACGTGTTTAGTGTTTATTACAACCCGCGGGGAGGAAAATGACAATGAAAAGCCTAAATGTGGAGAGGCAGACAAAGAATCAAGCCTCCTCAGTCCCTGATCACGCCCGCCCCTCCTTGATTACTGCGGTTAGGCCTAGGCCACGAAGGGCCTCTGCAGAAGGTGAGATGACGTGTCCCTGGGGCTTTGCACACAAAGGGGAGAGATGCTATGCTGTTAAGGGAAGGCAGGGAGCAGGGTGGCCCAAAGTGAACAAAGCAGAGAGCTTCGCATCAGCCCCTCAGCACACAGTCACACACAGTGACATGTTTTCGCCAGAATATTCTCCATGATAAAGCCAGACATGGATTCCTTGGCAACTGGGATGAGTGTATGCTTAACTCACGAAGACCATGTGAGCATTGGAGATAGGGAGAAAAGCAAACAGGGAAAAGTAAATCACAAATTTCCCATGGAACCAAATTCTTAGGAGCAAGCAGGGCCAGACAGGCCCAGGGTGAAATTTTTGAAGTCATGGCTGGTTGATTTAAAGCAAGCCCAGGAAAAAAAGCCTTCAGTCTTTACTTCCAAACCTGCTGGTATCCTTCCCTCCCACCCTCCCTCCCTTTCCCCCATTCGTCTGTCATCTAATAGTCAGATATCAGATCAGGGTTCTGTAGCCAAACTGCCTAACACAAACCCTGGACCCAACACTCACAAGCTGTGGCCCTGCCTCCTAAGGCCTGTATCTCAGTATCCTCATCCATGATGGGGATTATTGCAGTTTCTATCTCACAGAGTTGTTAAGAGGATCAGAGCAGCTAAGCATGTACTTATTATGCGCTTAGTACATAGGCAGGGCTCAACAGGTAGCTGCACTAGCATCAGATTCCAGGATGGTTCCCACACCAGCAGGAAAGATATTTAAGAGGCTCCTTGAACGACGCCTGGTTAAAGTTTCTCTGCCGCTCCAGCTTATTTCTGTTGCTTTCACGAGTGGTTCTCTACCTGAACATGCACCTGGGACTTGACGAAACAAAGACCACCGGCCCCTCACACCTGCATTTTTACCAGCTCCCAGTGATGCCAGTATTGCTGGTCCAGGACTATACTTTGAAAACCACTGGTTCCTGAACCCCTCTCCTGCCAACTGTGCTAATGGGAGCACCAAGATCTCACTGTTTTGCTTGCCCTGTTGCATTAGTAGAGACCCAGGACTGAATGCTTCCCTGGCTTCCTATACTCTGGCCACCTTCTGTGACATACAGCTGGCTTTGAACTTACAGTAGGGAGACCTCCAGGGACCAGGCCCCTCCATGCCTTCTTATATTTACCTTGCTCTCCTGGGTTTAGAGTTCAGGGCTATTTCTATGGGCTGTTACCACCCAGTCCTGGAAGTGCCACTCTTGAGTATTGGTAACATTTGAAATTCACTGTGACACCGATGACAGGAAACAGTTTACTGTACAGGTAATTTCCCTCAAGGGCATAGATCTCAACCCAGCCAAATGTCTTAACATAAATTTTTAAGTGACAGACTGATCTCAAGATCCTGACAACCCACTCCACTTCCCAGAAAAGAGAAATCATGATTAAAACACGATAAAGCCAGCTCACAATCTCACTGTTGTGAAGGAATACATTGCCAAGGCCTTCTGATAGACTATCATTTTGATAAAAACCCTATGAATAGCACAGATAGGGGTTTTACATAACCTATTCTTAATGAGTTCATATTGATACCGTTGTAATTACTCTAGTTATTAATTAATTAACAGGAATGGAGCAAAGAGAAGGCCAGGTAATATAGACATGCCATTTGTACAGCTTTGCCAGAAAGCTGCAGTTTAATACGCTCCAGGTCTGTTCCCCACAGATCTCTGGAGGAAGGGAGTGGACAATAGGTGCATGCCCAGTAAGGTCTGAATGATGTGGGGAAGGTGATTAGCTGTCAATCATACCTGGGAGCATGTCTTTGGCCAGAATAGGCGTGGCCACTGCAAGGGCGAGAAATCTGAAATACACAAGCTCCTGAACAAAGATATTCCCTCCTCTTGGCCCTCTTATGCTCCTGGCTCTCATTTTGCAGGTGGTGCACTCCCCTACATTCATCCACATGCCCACAGCCATGTGGCCGCACCCAACTGACTGATGGACTGGAATTAGCGTGCTGCTGTGCCGGACTCAGCTCCATCACGGAACAGAAACTTTGGACACTGGCTTTGCTTTTAGCTCTGCTGAACCCTGGCTGCACCTTTTCCAGGACTGGCTTAAGGGAAATGGGCCTTTGCAAACAGAGAGATATAACTCTACACAAATCAAAAGCACTCATTCTCCCATGAGCGTCTTTGAAAATTCTTTTTCTCAAGATATCATAAGAAACCCACTCCCACTAGCAACAGAGAAATTCCACCCATGCAATTCTCTGATAACAATACTGTGCCTTAGTGACCACAACTTACTTTCTACGTGCTAACAAAGCCTCCTATTAATACAACACTACAAAATTTTGCTAGACTTTATTTTTTTTACGAGGTTTTAAAAATTGCTAGGGTCTCAAGCAGTTTAGCTGCTTGAGTTGAAAAAGTATTTTAAAAAATTCATGACACTTATTTCCACCTAAGAATTTTTGGTATGGAAGCATACCAAAAAGTTTTCGGGGTCAAATAAATTCTACAATGTTGACTAGCATATTAAAGTATCTGAGAGGAGTAGGTGAAAAAGTTAGCCCAGGAGATTACTCAGTGGTTGAGTGTGGACCTATGAACCAGGAGGTCATGGTTCAATTCCCAGACAGGGCACATGCCTGGGCTGTGGGCTCAGTCCCCAGTGGGGGCATGCAGGAGGCAGCTGATCAATGATTCTCTCTCATCATTGATGTTTCTATCACTCTCTCCCTCTTCCTGCCTCTCTAAAAATCAATAACAAAATATTTTTTTTAAAGGGAAAGTTAAGTTTGTTCCTTTAGCAATCTAGAAACTTACTTATGGAACCTGTTCTTTATTCACATAGCATCCATTTACTTTTTTCTAATACACTTATTTTTACAAAAATATTTATTTCCAGGTGCTAGTCTATAACCAGAGATATAGTGATGAACAAGACAGACCCCATAAGGCTACAACTCAATGGGCAGTGAAGAAAAGAAACAACTGTATGAATAAATATATGATTTAATTTTAGGTGGAAATAGGTGCCATGAAGAAAAACAGCGGGCAGAGCTAAAAATTCAGAATTGAGACACTTCAGCATTTGTACTTTGGGAAGAGAAGAAGTAGGATTCAGGTTAGGGATACAGTGGGGAAGGAGGCAAATAAAAAGAGGGTAAGTTTAAAGGCTGAGAAAAGAATGTTAAGAGGAAGAATTTTAATCAACAGTGCCACCATTGCTGAAAGCTAGCTGAACAGCACATGAAAGATGCTCACCAACATTAATCATTAATGAGATGCAAATCAAAACAACACTGAGATATCATTTTACACTCACTAGGATGAGTATTAAAAAAACACACAAGACAATAAGTGCTGGCGAGGATGTGGACTAGAACCTTCATACATTGCTGGTGGAGATGTAAAATGGCGCTGCTGTTTTGGAAAATGGTTTAGTAGCCCCTAAAAAAGTTAAACATACAGTGACCATATGACTCAGAATTCCATTGTAAGTATGTATGCAACAGATATGAAAACATACGTCCCCAGAAAAACTTGTACATGAATATTTATAGCAGCATTATTCATAATACCCAAACAAGGGAAACAATTCAAGTGTCCATCAATAATGAATGAAAAAATAAAGTGTGGCATAACCAGACAATGTGATTTGGCCTTAAAAAGGAACAAAGTACTGCTGAGCGAAAGAATGATACTTTGTGCATTATGCTAAGTGAAAGAAGCCAGACACAAGAGGCCAACTATTGTATGATTCCATTTATATGACATGTCCAGAACAGGCAAATTCATAGAGACAGGATGTAGATTAGCAGTTGCCGGAAGGAATGGGGAGTGATTGCTAATGGCCACAAGGTTTCTTTTGGACGTGATGAATATATTCTAGAATTAGATAGTGGTGATGGTTGCAAAATTTTATGAATACACAAAAAAACACATGGAATTGTACACTTAACAGAAGTGAATTTATGTTATGTGAA